ACTGTAGTTTACCACATATGATTCATCCATGCTGTATTTTAATGTACTTTACCACACATGATTCATCCATAGTGTAGTTTACCACACATGGTTCATCCATAGTGTAGTTTACCAAACATGGTTCATCCATAGTGTAGTTTACCACACATGGTTCATCCATAGTGTAGTTTACCACACATGATTCATTCATAGTGTAGTTTACCACACATGGTTTATTCATAGTGTATTTTACCACACATGGTTCATCCATAGTGTAGTTTACTACACATGGTTCATCCATAGTATAATTTACTACACATGAATCATCCATAGTGTAGTTTACCACACATGGCTCATCCATAGTGTAGTTTACCACACATGATTCATCTATAGTGTAGTTTACCACACATGGTTCATCCATAGTGTAGTTTACCACACATGGTTCATCCATAGTGTAGTTTATTGCATATGGTTCATTCATAGTACTGTTCACCACATGTCGGGCAATCCATAGTACTATTCACCACATCTTGTACTCTCTATAGTATCTCCCTAGCCAACAAACCTATATAATTTTTACCCACCCATTCACAAAACTTAACTCGCAAAACCTCACTCGAACTGTATGTTACAGCTTCGTTGACTGCTTCCGTTCACAACACGTGGCTCGTCCATAATAACGTTCACAACACGATAATATTACTTTCGTTTCAGATAGTTATGATTTCCATTAATCGTCAGTATCTGAGCTATTCAATAACGAGAAATTGCTGCGACAATGAATAGTGTTGCGACCGTCACGTCCAATATTGTCAACTACCTCGGTAATTAACGTCTGGCTATGCTAAAGCAATTTTCAACTTGAAATGAAAAACATAGGTATTGATATTGTAATCGTGTGAACTGAACGACGTTTTGCCTATACTTTCCGGATTTCCAGGTAGTCACTCACAGGAACTTTTAGAAAGGCTTGATAGTCTGTATGTCGTCGATTTTTACCAGGGTTGTAGACTTCATCATTGTTGTCGTGACGTTCTAACTTCACCCGGGTTCTTCATATCATATTATCACATATGACAAGGTATTCGACGGTTTTCAAACCAACGAAGTGACCACGTCACGTGATCGTATCTTGTAGTTACTTTTACAGCGAGTATTGGGAACGTTGACAGTTTTCGGGTAATTGGACTAACGACGATTTTACAAGAAACGAATTACAACTTAAGTCACCAATGTTAATTTTCAATAAATCATAGATTTACTCGCACGAAACCCTTTTTTTTTTATCGAAACCAGTCAAATTATTCGAACAAAATGTGATAAAAAACCTCAATGTTTAGGAGTACATAATTGTTTAACCCAGCTAACTTGTCATTAAAATCTTACATCGGTTTTTAACAATTCAAACAAAGTTTAAGGAGAATTAGAGGTAGAATAATCTTGAATGTCACGAAACTAAAACTAAAATGAATTAAAACCAGTTAGATGCGCGCATTCTTAAGGCCGGCTCAGATAAATCGCATTGTGTGAACCGCAAAAATCTGATGTCCGATCAAACTTTTTAAATATCGGACATGACATGTTCAATTTCATCATGATTAATCTGATGAGGTAATTCTAGCCGTGTAAACATCTATTTTGTCATCAGACTAATCAGACGCAGTTTTGTTCAATAAATGTGAAACCGGCCTTAAAGGGAAATATACGCGTGATAAAATCAACTTTTGCGTGTACAACATAAATATTAAAAAGGCTTTAAATTTCCATAATATTTAATTTCAAAATTAGATCATAATCACTGAGAATATATTGACGAATTTTCCAGTGACAGAATGAGTTCTAGTGTAATTTTACATGTTGGCGTGGATTTCGTTTAGTGGATTTTACTTATCAGCGAAAGTGGCATAATTCAAACCCAGAGAATAATTAATACGTTTACAGTAAAGCTGTACAGTACAGTACAGTTAGCTGACGAACTTGGCAATAATGGCGGAGTGGTATTAATCTAAAAGTTGTATATATCATGCACTTTCATTGCTACATCTCACAAGCACCGAAAATGACCTTAATAAACTGATATAAAGCAATGTGTCGAATGTAATCGAAGTGTATAAATAGGGTTCTTGGGCCTTTTAACGTTGCACTATATTAGACAAAATCGTTCTCCGCCATTTTGTGTACTAACAACAAGTGAAACGGCATATGGCTAGCCTTCGTTTGAATATCGCTATTCGATTAGATTGTCGCAGAGTCACGGTGGCACATCGAGGATTCACAAAGGTACCTTTCATATATGCATGGAACGTGGTTGCTTCATTAATATGTCAATCTTGTGGCCTGAAATACGACGTTTTGACGATAGTTTTCTAGTTACTAGTAACTATCTCATACCATTCGCCAGGGAGACTCCGACACTCTATACTGGCCGTGAGATCGTCAATGTGATAACCGCCATGATTCGACAAAACGAAAGATTTGTTTGGTTGTATAGACATAGTTCGTCTTTCGCCATGGAATGTTTCGTAAAACAGACTAATACTTGACAGAAAAAGCGACAGTAACTCCAATTATCAGTCACGTGATAGGTTAGGAATCGTTGTTTCTCGACCGGATGTCATAGTTTGGTCATAACCGATGATGTCATTAGGCCGGGGTATTTTTTTAGTTACTTCAAAAACCTGAAATTCATTCTGCGATGATTTGATTGGGGGCGTTTTGTTTTGAAATGTTATGTTTTGAGTTGCATTTTTGTGGACCAAAAAATATGACTAGGTAGGCAAGAAATGTAAAAAAAAAACACTCAGAGCGGGAAATCCTGGAAAAGTTAAACAATAGACGCCATCTTGAATCATATGAATACCATAGCATCGTAGTTGAGGTAAGATACAATTCAGGACATACTTTTTCTTTCTCGAAAATGCATCAATACTTGCTTGCCCGCAATATATTCAGATTTCAGGCACAGGTGGGAACGTAACTGAATTGTGAACGCCTGAAATTACCAACAAACAATCGGGAGAAAAGCGATGTCCGTTCATTAACGGGGGTTAAATTTCACTTGAAAGCGATGATACATACGTACGTATGATATACGGAAAAAAACCCACATTGTCTCTGATTTCGGTAAATCCGTCCTCTTAAAGAATTCCGGCATTCTGTCATTCTTATAAATACGATGACGTACATTGCAACAAGTTATGTAATTGTTCATTCTGACGCATGGTGAAGACCCAGACGCAGGTATGGACGAATTTCGTGGATGAAAGCATAGCGAACACGGCACAGTATAAATGTACCAGGCTGTAGACGATATGTTGTGTTGTCGGCGACGGCTATGTAACTATTGAATGGCAAGACGGATATAGTATTCAGCCTCGTCGGGTACTTATGTCGGGGTGTCAAGGGGGAGTCCCTGATTTATTACCTACATTCGTATTTCATGACATTAATATACGGCACTAGAATCTATGTGATTATACTCTCATAATCATTACTTTGAAAATGATGTCATTGCGACATTTTTTTTTCGTTAATGGATACAAACACAACACGGAAGGCAAAATGGCGCACCTAACTTGGATAAATAGTACGCACCCGAATGCGTCAAGTCAGTTTGGTCAAGAATTTTTTTAGTTTCAAAAATAAAAGGAATATGAGTATATATTATTTGAACGCAATCGTGGTAACATAAACAGTTCATCTGATTTTCACTCAAAGACAGGTTGTCGCATTATATGTGGCGTTGGAACGAATGATGCATCGCCGTTACAAATGACCGACTCGCATATGGGAAAATTACTAGTAACTATTCCGAAAATGTAAACCTACAACTGATTCATCATGACATTTTCATCCTTTTTGTGTTTTTTTTATTTCTGACACAGGATGAATATGTGCGTTTCTCCAGTATTCAAACACATTGACTAATATTTCGTTTGAATGATAACTTCCAAGTTTGTGACGTTAATTCTGAGTTAAACTTCAACAAATTTTAAGGCAAAAATCATGTTTGTTAAATACAATATATAACATGTACTAAATATTAAAAGTGGACAGCTGGCCGAAACGAACGTATTGTCTAAAAGTAGTGATGTTCCGCATAGAAAAAAAAACGGAAGTGTTGGCGGCAAATATTAATACGTATGTACTATCCCATACTAGCCCCCTCTTCTCCCTGTGTAACATTAAAGCAGTGCTCGCCAATCTCCGGGATCGTACCACGGAATTCATGTCACATGCACTATAAATATGTCTTTCTCTTCTCATTGTAATTCTAAGCCAGTAAGCACATTTACTGTGCGATTTTAAAGATACTTTAGTTACCACTATACGCCACGACTATTTTATCATGGAATTTCGGAAAGCCAATTACATGTATTACAATTTTGTATTACAAAATTACGATATGTTCAATAATCGACGATATTCAATATCCGTTAAATACAGAAATATAAAAACAAAATATTACCAACCTCATAAATTGAAGAAAAAAAATCTCCCCTCTCGAAATAAATTTGTTTGATAAGCCGTTCCCCTTTCAGAGTTTAGTAAAATAATGTTATTTATGGAATGAGCGCATCTATGCAAAACTACGTCACATATTTACTCTGAAATCTGTTAAGAGTTTCTGAGAAACGGTACTTTGTTTGTTGCGTTTCGTGTGCAAAAGCGATTGGTTGAATACTGGATAGGCTTGTAAGGCGCATAAAAATACAGGACCACGGAAGTTGTATACAAAAAAGAAAACGAATACTCTGAAACAAATGCATGTCGTGGAATCGGTAAAAATTAACACGTTTTATTCATGGAGGTAAAAATAATATTTATAGCTCCATGTTTTAATCAAGACAATTATTCACTCTATCGACAATCGATTTTGGCGGATCAGATTTGAAATTCTATCTTCATAAAAACGAAAGAATATTGTATAATTAATGGGGAAATTGAAAATAAATACCTTCGGACTTGACCTCCAGTTCGAACTGTTGCAAGATGTTTGTTTTTTTAATTTCACATTTGTTTGAGCCCTTGTACATTTAGGATTTCAAAGGGCATTATGTAAAATACACAGAATGCTCTCTCTGAGACCCCAAGTCCACAAACGCATATCTTTGAATCACTCCATGATCACCATGTCAGATACACTTCATGATTCCGAGTGTTACTGGTGACAATCTGTATTATTCCAGACGGTAAATTAAAAAAAAAGAGTTTGAATGTGTGCGTTTGAAGACAACGAACATCTCCATTAAACTGCAATCCTATTCCGTGTGAATTACACAAACTGGTCACCCCGCCACTGAGCAGTTGTCATTCAAAATAGCCACTTGTGAACATTTTGCACTTCTAATCTGGAAATGTTTTGGAACGTTCTAATCCCTTGCAACTCAATTTCAGAGCTCCATCGAACTGGGCGTAAATAGTTGAGAAATCGCAATCGCAAACGGAAGGGATCAATGTGTACACATTGCCAACTTCAGGCAATAAAAGCCGACTCCGGGACAGCTTCCCTCCACGTGACTCCTGCATCAGTCTATCGCCAACTAGCTGCCATGACAACGATGACTATAATACTAGTATTGAGTGAGAGTACGCCCTCACAGAGGACGTGTAACATACTGCACCCGCTTGGCGCCATCACTAAATATGGCGTTCGAGCTAGAATATATTCGTTCACAGACAAGACAACCTTATATAGGCCGATATATAAAACCCAGATAAAACATTTTTTGGTGGAAAACCTAGCCAGATGGATGGACAGTCTGCAACATAAAATCTGACCAACTGCACAAAATAATGAAATCTGTGATATTGATATTAAATGTTGTTACCATAGAAACCAATATAGATAAAATGTACCAAATTACTGAATTCTTGACATATAGCATTTCACCATTTTATTGACGACAGTATATTGATTGCTTTCTTAATATTGAGATCATACACTTGTTCACGCTTTCTTGTTTCAGATTTCACAGTGACAAACCAGCTGAACTTAATCGATGATAATGTTCTTCTGTTTTTGGGATTTCGCTGGCCAGTATGAGGATTGTACGTTTCATACTGTGGCCAGAGAAACCCCCAAAACATATGAACAGCTTTTCTACATTTTCCATCCGGGAGCTTTACATGGGCGTCACTGTTCAAGAAACGACCAATGATAGCGCATTCGATTGGAAGACAGTTGTATACGAAAAAATACATTTGAAAAATGCCTTACAGAATTTTGGTTAAAATTCAATACTTACCTGATGACAATAATGGTATTGTTCTTGGTTCGACCTTTTTGAAAATAACAAATTAGTTATACGTGTATTTACACTTTTTTTCTTCCATTTTCTGTTTCTGAATAACACCAGCAACATTGCGGGACTTAAAAGGCCAGTTCAGACAAAACACTTGAACTGATCAATCAAATCCCGTAACAATGCTGGCAACGAATACACGGCGTATAAACAATCATACGTGGGGAGTCTCTGCTCAGTTACAAACACGTGTGACAAGAAAGGTAGGCAAAATCCTGTCCTATCGACGAGGAGACGGTTATTAAATTCATATTGGTTTCGCCCAGTCGATGAGACACCACTTCGACGCGACAGCGATAATCGTAGCATGTCGTGTTTCCAGGATTTGTAGTCAACCTGTTTTTCGGTGGATGATCACATCGCATACTGGCGAATTGTGGGTAAAGCCCATTGTTTCCAGATGAGGAATTCTCAGAAATACGGTAAAATTCTGAAAACAGGAAAAAGAAAGTTGATAACTAGCTAATATTTAACGGTAAAACATCGATCGTATGACTTCATCAAGGTCGCATTCCTGAAATCATCGGACAGCGCGCGCAGTGCGAAGAGTTTAGTTGGTTGTTGCGAGGTACGATAACAATTATATTACTACGATAAACACGGGTGTGACGAAGGTGTAATTACTACTGGTGGAGCAATACGAAAGAAGTTCCAATCGTAGACCGGGCGCCGGCGGTATTTGGGTGCTGACAGACAGTGCTGCGCCTGCCACCGGTGTTTGACGACAATCTCGCATCACCTGGACTTCGATCGCCGGGTACTTCGATATGTCGGCAACCTGATCAATTACATGTATCGCGAACAAACAATACTTGCTTCGTTAAGTCTATTCAACCAGACATATCCTATTGAACTATGTTGTCTTTCCTTCAACAAATCAAGTGCATTGATTGGTGCATTGTGTGATTTTCTTTTTCTTTTCATTTAGGGGTGTTCAAATAAATACAACGTTATGAAAAAAAAAAAAATTACGATAATAATTCAAAAGTAACATAACTATGTCAAGAGTCAATTACGTCTAACGGTCGTAAACGTCATTCATTCTACTTGGCCACTCTACCACATACTATAAACACATTTTCAGTGCTAACATTAGGAGGCGATTTACGTTATTGGCAGCCTTGGCAGCATTTACTTAAAGCGCGGTGGTCGTCGCGCAGCGCGTGTTCGAATTTCATGTAAATAAACAATGTATTTTACACGCGTTGTATATGTGGCTATGAGTCCCACATCGAACAGGACGCGGCACGACGACTGCCGCCGTTTAATTTATACTGCTAAGTCTAAGTATTAAAAGTGGGAACGAGTTATGACGACATAACCCGGACTGAACTCGATATGGACACTCTTGAAACCCGTCCATTGTTAAGATGAGACATTTTTTAATTCGCCGATATCATGGTTCATTTACCCTGCCTCTATGGCTACATTACCATTGTTCACATGGCAACAGGCTAAAGTCAATATAGACCTGAATATTTCCAACCAATAACTACTGTGAATGACCAATGTTGTTTCACCAACCTTATTATTTACTTTATGTTTTACTGGTACCAACTACACTTATATAGTGTGCCCTGATTGCCACAGAGTAAGACTCCGCGGGACAAATATAATCTTGGAACAAATAATTACCTGTAACGGTTTTCAGCTAGGCCATGGCGGCCAACAACTGTGAAGTCAGGAGCAGCTATGCTGGGACCTGGTACACCTTCAACCATCTCATCTAAAAATCATACAAACACATACGACTTGATAAGATATAGGAATGCGTTACTGGTACAGGTTGGGATGGGGGCGCTGACTTCCCTACTAGGTTCATCCCATGTACGTCAACATTGGACTGACAGTTCGATCATATATTCTTAAAATATCGATCAAAAGTAGTACCGATGAATTGTAAAACGAATACATACCAATTTCTTCCAACACAGACACATTGTGAGCAGTGATGCGTTCCTAGTCGCCGCATAATTGTATTTGATTTAGATTATTAACTAATTTATAAGTATGGGCTCCATATCAAAATATGCACTCACCCCACAATGGTTTTGTTTTCGATTTGATGAACAATGCCGGTTTCTCGGAAGTGTTTCTAATTTTAACAACAATCTGACACGACACTCAAAACTTATATCGCCACCTTCTGCACAACTATAGGTAACACAGGGTGTTATCATTTTAGATACAGTAAGCTAAACACCCACACCATTGATTAATTCCATATAGTAAGACCAAAAATTGCCCATCACGCCGACTTCAAAAGCATTGTCTCTCTGGTGGCGGGTGGAATGCTCATATTCCTATAACCTTGAAATACACAATCGCGTGATTCTAGGAACGCAATACAATGCGCCGTTTTAGACTATTACGTAAAATTGTCTCAATAACGGTCGCGGTTGTAGAAAACCTAACTACCTGACATTCCAGGCATTTCCAAATTATGCGTTTTCTTTGTAGGCGAACACCGTGTGGAAAACATCTCAACGTAATGGGTTTAATAGCTACTATTACATGTAACAATATTACCAGATTACGTTTGTGTTTTATTTTATGCTGTAGTTTACCCCCCCCCCTATGGACGAGAAACTACTTTTCGCACACAATGGGTCAAACATCCGTGAAATAAAGTGAAAATTATTATATGTTGTTACAACCAATGCGAATTCTGTCGACGTTCATCAAAAACGCAGATAATGTTGATGAATATTGAATACACACTTTTGTATGTTTGGACAGCAAAATTAAGAACGCGAAATACACTTAATTAATTTGTTTCACAAAACTAAAAACATACTTATATTGTAGATACTGTATGTCCGTCGTTAAACAGTCTCACAGTTCCCAAAGTCACAAAAAACAATTAATATTAACAAATAACAAATTCCACGAAATGAAGAAATCCGTTAGAACACAATCATATATATATACATATATACAGAATGATAAATGAGTGTTTGTTTTAATCTCATACATTCCATTGCCAAAAATGCAGCTGACGTCACGAATCAGATACAGCGCTATCTACGACACCTTCATACATCTTCACAACAATCTTGACAGCAGCTTCTGAACTCATGACACACCTATTGTATATTCCACGGAATGACAATGCAGACTGATAACGAATTAGAATATAATTGTTGTCGACGAACAGTCAACTGAGTGGCGGATACAGAATTTTCGAACAGAGTGAGAAATAAAAATACCACATTTGTAATTGGGACGGTTTTTTTTATATTAAAACACTTACTACCAATGTCACTATAGGAATTTATATAATTTTGGAATTGGTAACATTATAGGAACGCTTTTGAAGTAATTGTTTGAAGTCCTACATTAGCAACATATTTACATTATTGCTTTTTTACATCGAGCTTACGAAGTGTGTATTGGATTTGTTGTTGCTGAACTGTTATACTAATAAACCACGTCGCTTCGTAACTCACTGCTCTGCAAATATGTTAAAAATATTACAAAGCACCCGGCAAAGCCCCCAATTGTAAAAACAAATTTCTGTAGTGTTTGGTTTGTTCCATGAAAAAATATTCCACGGGTAAATAATGTCATTCGTATTTCCTCGCTACCGGTTTCTTTTAAATATACGCACTGCTATAGTTATATATTTAGTAATTTATTAAAAATATCTTGATTGTAAACTAATAATTACTTAATTATTAGTTTGCCACAATCACTACCTTAAACACAACCTGGGGAATTAACGTTTTAGTCAGTCGTTATTTCCACATTACAGGCAATATATTGTTTGACCGATACACTGTAACAGTACCGATTGTACTAATCGTACACCAAAACTGCGAATACAAAGGACCCAATATATGTTAGAACGCTATAAACATCGCCATTTTTATGACCTTTCACACATTATAAAATGCCACGATGATTGCGAAATATGGGTTTGAAAATAAGTCACCTCGAGCATGGTTTTCGATATACTGGAAAAGGAGAATCACGATTTTGATATATTACAAAAATGAAATGCAAACATACTTACAATACACTAAAACTAAAATGGAAAACAATATCTGAAACTATACGGCGATAACACTACGCATTGGTACACCCCCACAGGATGGGGGGGGGGGGTTAGTCGCCCCCTCGAAAATCAAGCCCCTCAAAATGCAGGAAATAGCGTTTCAGAGAGACTAGATTTAAAAATGTTTAAGGGGGAGCATGCCCCGGAGCCCCTGGTAAGGTCGCGCCTAAGGCTGGTGAGCAGACCCCTCCCCCCACGCAAAATTCCGTGCCGCCGCCTCTGTGGTGGGATGATGATCAGCATTTTTAGGTCGAATTTCACTGATAAACTTCACTGAAGTCTAAATTTCATCTAGTATAAGCTTTAAGACGTGTAATGAGAAGAATCTATGAACTAGTTTCAAGTACATCCAGTATATACTAAGACGCTGTGGACATTTGTCAGCCAACTGGCTGGACGATTGCTTACTGACAAAGGTCATGTCGAATATACCAGGTATGTACAAGGTAGGCTAAATGTGTTGAGTACTCTACTACCAACTGAAGTAAGAAAACCGTTGAAGTATATAAAAGTACTGGACAGGAATTTTTTGTGCTGCCCAAGCATATTTTTACCGGTGAATAAAGTTGTAAAATTGGCAAAACGTTTACTAACCTACAATCGAACGATCTCCATTCGAACCTCCGATAAAATTTCAACTGTTTACACACCTGAAATGAAAACGAGACAATACTCCGATTTTTATCGCCGATTTCCAACAAACACCTAACATTTTCGAGGAAATAACTTATACTTGCTTATATAGTAACGTATATGTACTTGAGTTGAACGACATTTTATCATTTAAGATGGCGTGTCACTCTGTGAAACTAGGCCGAGCTATAAAATCTGAACCGCCTAACGTGTTTTCGGAGTCGGTGTAGAGCTCATAGTAAATCAGCAAACACGATCACATGTTTATATCTATGCGCGGAACTCATTTAATATACTTGAGTTTAGGACAACAAATACAGTATAGCAAAAT